GGTTTCGCTACACAACGGAAGGGACTCAGCTCTTAATCAGCATCTGTCATTTCACAAACACTGCTGGTTCGTCTCAGCTCCAAATCTCAGGATTTTTTTTTTTAGAGATAGTTTGGCCCAACATGTACAGTCATTTCTCAGTATTCATGGAAGACACAAAATCTGTGCTGCTCAGGTCTCTTAAATTAAAGACACAGTATTTACATAAAGCCTACTGCATATCTTTTCACACACTCTAATTGTCTCCAGCATATCTCCTACAAGGCACACGCTATGTAAACAGTTGTTATACAGCCTTGTTTAGAGAACAGGGACAAGGAAAAAAGTTGGCAGGTGCTCAGTGAAAAAGCAATTTTTTTCCCCAAAGATTTTTCATCTGCAGTTGGTTGAATCCATAGAGAATTCATGAACATGAAGGCTCCATTGTATGCAGGACTAGAGTTTGTCAGAGGCGTTGGATTTGCTGCCATTTTCAATCTAAACTACGGTTGATTATCTTCATTAGTTCAATCTTAATATCCTAGGACTCTCCTGGTTTTAGTACTGAAAGTCCTATGTCCCAGGAAACTCCAGTCTTGGACCACTCAGGACAGTTTGCTGTCCTCTGTTTGGACTTCAGAACTGTGTCACTAGACTAGCTTAAAATGGATACAAAGGGGAGTGGCAACAAAACCAGTCAAAAAACTGAAAATCTGCACTGAAAGTCTCCAGCCGCATTCCACTCCAAAGATGGTTTTCAATAAATAACCCAGTAGGCCACTTTATTCACCAGGCGAGAAACGGTTTCTTGCTTTGCAGAAATGACCTATCTACTATATGGAGAAAATTAAACTATGGCTTGAAACTGGCTATAATAAATAATGCTACATGAGGTTCTAAAATATTATATTATCTTACTCCCAATTTCCACATTTTAGAGCCTAATAAATAACGCATATTATGACAGTCAGACCTAACAGCATAAAATGAGAGCCTCGGTTTTCTTTGGTCCTATTCAAATTTCTTGGAACCTGTGTGCTGTAGGCAAACTCCCCAGAGTTGGAGAAATGCCAAAAGCAGCAAACTCTCCACACAGCTCACCTATAGCACCAGAAAGTCCAGCCAAGAAAGGGCCCCTGGACTTCAACCTGTCCATTTACTCCAATGCCTAATACTCCAAGAAAACCAAAATGCCTCAGTACCTGGACCTATAAAACAGGAATTACACAGCCAAGAAAAGAACTTGCTTCATTAACTTGGGAACTCAAAACCTTCTCAATTCTGCATAATTGGCTGTTACAAGATCCCCCTCTGCTACCTAAAGCCTTCCTACCTTTCTGAACAATTAATCGCTTTACTTTGTAGCAGGCAGAATCACAGCACCCAACTAAGTCCACCTCTGTGTCCCCGGAACCTGTGAATGTGTAACCTTATCTGGATAAAGGGACTTTGAAGATGTGATTAAAATAAGGACTTTATGATGAGGAGATTGTCGGGTTTGTCCAGGTGTGCCCAGCCTTATCACACGGATCCTTGACAACCAGAGAACCCCTCTGGCTGAACTCAGTGAGAAGGAGATGTGACAACGGACAAAGCACACAGAATTGCAATGTTCTGGCTTTGAGAATGGAGGGAGGTGGCCCGCAGAAGCCAGAAAAGACAAGGAAATGGATTCTCTCTGGAGCCTCTGAAAAGGCAGCTTAGTCCAGGGAGGTCCCTGTAGAACCCAGCCGTACAACGGTCCATCTGTATGGCTTCAAGCCACTAAGCAGGTAACGTGACACAGAAGCAAGAGACAGCTAATCTACCTTCCATCATTGCTGCGGGAGAATTTACATGATGCCTCTGTTGCCTTTTTAGACCTCAATATTTGACCATTGCTTACCTCGTGTTTGATTTACTTCTCTATGTAGACTTAAAAAAATAGATTTAGTGCTAACCAAATATACTCAGAATCCCTGGGAGCACAAAACAATGTGTCCTTTCACTTGTCCACTTGGTTTAGCTGCTCTCTTTAGTTTGGTAAGCACCAAGACCACTTATACCCCAAACCACTGAGCATCACTGAAATAGGTCATTTTGCATGAAGGAAAAATGCTTTTAAGTGAGAGTGGAAAATGCCGGCTAGTCTTCTTAAAGTGGTGTGCTAAGACTTGGTAGTTTTCAATGTCTCCCTAAGGCACACTGCCTGTCACAGTGACTGGAAGACACCTTCTTTCGGCCAACAAGAAGTTCCAAAGACCATAGTGAAAAATCACCCCGTCACCATTTCAGCGACTCCCAATGAAAAACCCTGTGTGGCTCAATTTGAAAAATTTCAGTCCACTGATTAACATGAAAGAAATCAACACAAACATCAAAGAACATCGGATGCTTATAAGGCAGCTCCTGTTATTAGCAATACTTGGGTAGAATGTAGGGATGTCTCAGCCATTACTTGAACAATATTGTTCTTATATCCAAATAAAGTGATTGTTGGGGATTGGACGTTAGGTATGGTGTTAAAAGCGCGCACACACACACACACACACACACACACAAAAGGGTTTTTGATAATAAGCTCTAAACCACAGATTCTCAACTCTGGCTACATTTTAAAATCATCTGGGGAAGTTTAAAAACTACAGCTGCCCAGGGTTCTGCCCTAAAGATTCTGGCTCAGCAGGTCTGGGGAGGGCCTGTGTATCTCTGCTTTTCGATGCATTCTGGAGATTGCAACGTGCAGCCACCATCTGCCCAGTGCAGAGCAGCCTAGGGGACATGCCATGCAGATGAGGTCACTCGGATCTGAATCCCATCTTCTCTTCCTGTGTTTAGAGCCTAGTTGTCACTCCCCATGCAACCTTCCCAAAGAGACACCTGAGGATTATCCTAGAAGTCTTCCTCTTCTCCACTCGTCACATTAGCCAGCAATCCATCAGCCCTTCCAAATTCTGTGCACCCTTTGGAGACCCCACACCCCCGTACTCTCTTTCCAAGCACCCTGCTATAGAAGGAATTATCCTTTCAGAGAAAATCCCCATCCCATGTCCCTGGCTGCCTCCCACCCAGCAGAGAGAGTCAGGCCTCTTGGATATGGATGGCACCCGGGGAACCTTTTGAGTGTCCCTCGGTGTACTTCCCAAGTCACCCCTCAATCTTCTACTTTCTGGCCACATCCTAGCTGCTCTAAATCTCTCAGACCGCACCAGGCCCTGGGGGAGCTCTGTCTTCCACGCGTGCTTTCTTCCTCATGGAGCCTCTGCTCTCCTTTCCCCTCTGGCTGAGGCTGCTCCATGCCACGGCTCACTCACAGCTTCACCCATGGCATCTGCCTGCCCCGTGACCTCCAGGATAGCCCTGTCCTCCTGTACCCACCCTGGTGGCTCTCCCCTACCACAGGGGTCTCGTGTCCGGCCATGTTTTCCTACATGCGGCTGAGCAGCTCTGGGGCCAGGCCTGTGTGCTTCCCATCTTCCGATTCCCAGCACCGACCCTTCATTATTTTATTCATTCATTCAACAGTTTTATTAAATAGATAACAAGCGCCAGACATGCTGCCTGCGTGCTGGAGGCAACGTTGTTAACAAATCAGAAACCATGCCTGCTCTCTCAGCTTTTCTTACCAGGGAGGCAGATCCCTGCACAAACGCCATACAAGAGAAAGCACCACAGCTGTGGGGAGGGCTTGGAGAAGGCTTGTTTCGGGTGGCGAATGCACAGTGCCAGTACATTAAAAAATGAACAATGTCAAAAACAGCTTTCAGAAATTGCAGCGTTTTGAAACTGTGGCTTCTAATGTTTACACTGAACCATTAGTTGGATGTGGAGTGCATTGTTTTTTAGTCATTGAGCTGCTAATGGGTAACCTTATCTGCAGATGCTGAGTTCAGATTCCAGAACCTCATCAACACAAGTTAAAGAAAATAGACCCTCTTATCCTAAGGCAGGTCTGATGCCCACTTAGGGCTAAATATTCACCGAGTGAATAAATTACTATCTCCAACACACTGATTAAGTAAACTGCTTCAGCTGTAAACAGGCTTTACTTTTCATTAGCATTTTCTGTAGCCATTAAACTGTCATGTAGATAAAAATTAGAAACCAAACAATCAGATTTAGCCTGCCACACAGTAAAATTCCTGAGAAAAGAAGAGAGGTGAGTAGGAATGTAAGTGAAACAACACTGGACCTGAGTTGCTAATTGTTGAAACTGGCTGATGAGGGTACCAGACTGTATTATATTATTAGCGCTGCTTTGGTATAATCTTGAAATTCTTCCTAATGAAGTTAAATTGTAAAAGGGAGGTGGAGAACTTAAATCACTGAAAAGTGGGAACTATGTGTCCCGGTTGGAGCAGATATCCAATCTGTCTCAGGATCACGATGATCTTTCGTGTCTACAACCAGATTCAGATAGTTTTAGCTACTTTGACAGGAAAAGCTTCTTCCAGAAGCAACCCCACCAGCAACAGGCCAACCTTTCTATTGTTTGTGTTGTTGTTACTGCTGTTGTGATTGTCAGGAAAGCAAGCTCGTAACGTCTGGGACCCATCCACAAGAGCAGATCTATCTTCTTTGATCTAATCTGGTCTGAGCTTCTATCTGGCCCAGACTCTTGTCCTCAATGCCCACAACCCATTAGTCATGATGGGTGCCATAAGCCTAGTTTTGTTAAAGTAACAGCTTTAAAAGTTTTCCAGCTTGGATTTTTTATACCAGAATTGCAAAATCTGGGTGAAAATTCAATTTTAATTATTTAAAGAGAATTTTTTTCTTTAAGTCCCAAAGTCGTATCAACATTTTTAAAGACTCTGTGTTTCTTACCCACAAAATATCACATATTGAAATACTTTCATCTACAGAACTAGTTAAGACATTTTTAGGGCTGGGGCTATGGCTCAGTGGCATAAACACCTGCCTGGCACCTTGCATAAATACAAGGTCCTGAGTTTGATTCCTGGCACCAAAGAAGATATTTTTGACCTGTCTTGAAGTTCTGGTTAAAGACAATCTTAGAAGAAAATATTCAGAATCCTTACCTCTTCAGTTCCCAAAGCCTGAGGCTCACTGGCAGATCTGGCTGTTGAGAAAACACAGGAAAAAATATATGTATTAGGAAAACAAAAAACAGCATAATACATGAGAGCAAGTGAAGGCTGGAGGTAATAGTGGTACAGTTCTAAGGGCAGGGGGGTCTTATGGGTTCACATTTTGTTAACTCCTTTTCTCTTCAGAAACAGATACTGCATGTGAAACAGGAGTTCATTTCTTTGTGAAATTTGCTAGCTTGCATGAAAATATGAACTCACAAAGGCTGCATGGTAATTGAGGGGAAGCAGAGTTCCAGGTGACAGAGATTATACACCCATGCCATGGGAAGAAGGAGCACGAGCTTCCCTCCTGACCTAACCTGATCTGTCCCTCCAGGATCAAAGCTGCAGAGGCGGAAAACACTTGGTCCAGGTGTTAGGGATGGAGATGGAATACATATAGCTTGTGTGTATCCGGAAGATCAGGACACGTCATTGGCTAGCAGACGTATCTTTAGTACGCAAGGCTCCTACAGGCTGTTTAGAGATGGAAAGGAATTCATACCTCTAACCGTGAACGCTACTGTGAATGTTGAACAGCTGCCTGAACTCTGCCTTGTACCCAGGGTGCCTCGTATGTGAGAATAAGAAAGTTCCTACATAGAGGAGCTTCCTTCTTCTTTAAAAGTGACCACTTCAAAGTCTCAGGGGTCACTTCACCATTCTTACTTTGTTCTGAAACAGGATCAACAGTCATCTGATTGTGGGTAGAAACCAAATTCCCTCTGGGTCCTGGAACCCACTGAACCTCAGTGTCTCTGGAAATCTCACACTGCTCCAGGCTGGCAGGTATGTTGCAAGCCAGACCCAAAGAACCATATTCCCTGACTACTCTCCAGGGGCCTAAGTTATTTACAAAACCATTACCTCATGATTAATGACAGCAAAGGGAAAGAAAACAAGCCAAGGGCAAAAAACAATCTATTTTCAGAGAATGAGCCCTGGGGATAACAAGGGCTAAGTGGGACTTGCAAAAGGAGCCGGAGCAAGGGTGACAGAGGCCAGCGCTAGTGTCCATTGTGTCCTACAGTGTCAAGTGGCTCAGCCTCTCTGCACAGAAGTTTGGCACTTCTTATCAAGAGATCTCAGGCATGTTCCGGACCATTACTGTAGTGACACCACTCCTTGACATGAGCAACAATCATGACAACAACAATGACAACAAGTAGACAAAGAATGACTGCAACGGGGTTGCAAAGAGCTTACTTATCAGAATACAGCCTCCTAAATTAAATAGAAACTCCACGTGGTAGAACCAACAACAGACACAAAAAATTTTGAAATGATGAGGAAAACACAAAAACCACATATGGTACCATTAAGTGAAAAATAGGCAAGTATAGTATGTCATAACTAGTGTGACTTTGATTGATTTTCAAGTACTGTGTATAAATTATGTATACTGTAGTCCCTCTTTCCAGAGGCTGTACTTTGCTTGGCGTCAGTTCCTTGTGATCAAACAGGATCTGAAAACATGAAAGTGGAAATGCCAGGGGTAAATGATCCTTGCATTTTAAATTGCACCCTACTCTAAGTCATGTGATGAAATCTCACACATTCTCCCCAGTCCAGTCCAGGACCAAAATCATGTCCTTGTGCAGAATGTAGAGATGCTACCTCCTCAGGGTCACTTGGTAGACATCTCAGATATCAGATTCACTACTGGAAGATCTCACAGAGTTTGTGTTCAAGTTATCCTTCATGGTGCCTAATCCCATGTCACTCCCGGGATCATCTATTGTCATAAGAAGGGGAAAGGCAGTATTACGAGATATTTTGAGAGAAAGCTGCATTCACGTGAATTTTATAACAGTATATTGATATAGTTGTCCTACTGTATTATCTCTTACTGTGCTTAGCTTATAAACTAGACTTCACTATAGGTATGAATGAATGGAATGAATAAATAGGAAAAGACATAATATATTCATGGTTTGGTACCATCTGCAGTTTTCAGGCATCTACTATGGGTCATGCAATGTATCTCCCAGAGATAAAGGGTCCATGATATTTTTCTACTGTATATTTTCTACTGGATGTTTCCTATTTTAATATACATTTTTCTAATGTATCATATATGCATGCTAATTTAACATATTTTATACAGACATATATTATGTGCAAACAGTGTTTTGTAGTATGCATTATACATGATATCTTTCTGATATATATTTCTCAGAGAAAAAAAGGAAGGAAATACATCAAAATGTAAACAATGTATTTCCTCTGTTTTACAGGGCAATGGAATTGGCAGAAATTGTTTCTATGTCCCCAAATCTGATTTCCTTTACTTTCATGTCTTTAATAGAAGTCAAAACTATGCATGTATATGCCAAAAGTAGCTACTTATTTTTTTCAGCCTCCCTGGCTGCTAGGTGTGTGGCTATGCAGCAGTAGCAGTGGGACAGAGGCTAAAGAGATACATGTAACTTCAGGGTAAGGCCCGCCCCTTCCACCTGTCTTCCCTCCAGCTGGTGATAGTGGGGTCTTCGTGGCAAGCCACCTTAGACCATGAAAGCAGCAAGAACCATGAATGGAAAAGGCCGAGTCCTTGCATGGTCATGTAGAGCAGAAATAGCCACTCAGGCAACCCAGCTGTGGGTAGTTCTGTTACAGAGAAATAATTTCTAACTTCTGTTAGCCCCTGTAACACCAGGCCTCTGGTATACCGGGGTCAACCAATAACTAAGTTAACAAATGGGACCATTCCTATATGTTCTTTACAATTTTCAGCATTTTACAAATTTGCAATAAATGACTTCTATGATAAGAAAAAAAATAAAGTTTTTTTTCTAATATGAGAAAATTAAACACAAAATGAAGTTTGGCAATAGATGCCTACTTTCCACATATGAGGATGAAAATAAAAATCTATGGAAGTATTTATGTCACATAGCAAGACATATCACACACACACAAACTAAAATTTATAAAACCGAGCTGGGTGTAATCTTGGCCCTCAGAAGGCTGAAGCAGGAAATTGAGGCCAGACTGGGCCACGTAGTGAGTTCAAGGCCAGCCTGAAAGGCATAGTGAGACCTTGTCTCAAAAAAATCCAAAAGAAAATAATTATAAGGCCCTTTAATCACACCTTACTTTATTTCAAGCCTTTTGAAAAAATATTTTTAAAAGAAAAAGTTGTCTCTATGCTAAATAAAGCTTGTTTTTAAAAATCTACTTGAAATATGCTCTAAGCAAAAGACTTCAGTCAATATATTATAATTATACATTGATGAGGATAGCCAGACTTCAAGTGAATTTAGAAACAGTTTTAAAAACAATTCTCTATGTTCCCTTACATTTAAATTAATGGCCTTTGCTCCTCACATGGAGCCATTGGGTTAATTTTTCTGATTAGTTACCTGGCCCAATAGCACTGTGAGGCCACCACCCAATGGTGTGCTCTGATTTTATTCTCCCTGGCACAATGACAGATTCAGTAGGCATCCCATAACTCCCCTTGTCTCCTTGGTGACCCATGAGCCTGTGTTGTAAGACAGGTGCCCAAGGTAAGAGTTCTACCCAGTCCTTGAAATACAGACGCTGGGTCTACCTGTGAATCAGATCAGGAACAGTGAGTGATCCAATTCCAAACCGCCTTCTAACTGCACAAGGGTAATACACCGAGGATCTCTTCAATCTGCAGTAATGCTGAGGGCATTTGGCACCTGTTAAAGGATTATGAGAGCCATGTTCCTGCTTGGCAGGCTGATCTGGGAAACTTGCAGGTAATAATGCACCAGGATAAAGAAACTATTTTCTCCCCTTCTTCCCAAGAGAATGCCCACTGGTCCTTCTCGCCCCTGTGAAATGCAATGGCCAACAATACCGCGGCAGAGGCAAGCTGCTGGTGCTCCTGGCCTCCCCTCTGAGGATGCCGGTCAGCGTCTTCCCAGGAAAGCCATGAACTCTGCCCCGCAACAGGCAAATCGGAGCTAGCCGTAGAAAGAAGCTCTGAATTGTCCGTTTTTCTCCCTCTTCCCTCTCCGGAAACAGAAGCAAGCCAACTCAACAGGCCTAATTACCATGGCAACAACACGCACTGTGATTATGAGTGTGTTTGTTTTTTAAAATGACTCACAGATTGTTCCCCCAGAAGCCGCAGACGCACAGGTTTCTGGCTGGCTTATAAAATGCACCTAAAGTTTCTTTGCACATTTCTTGTTCCTGTTAGTATAGCTGGTGTGATGGACAGAAAACTATCAAGTCAAATCCAGTATGTCTTCACCTTAAGGATGAAAAAAAGGAAAGCCAGAAAGAAAAAGAAAAAAAGCCACTTGGTTCCTTAAACACTCCAAGATTAATCAATCTAAACCTTTGGTTTGTAATAAAATTAATTGAGTTTGTACACTGAAGAGAATTAATCTGTTCCCAATTTAAATAATTAAGGTATTTCATAATGTGATTTTAGAGGTTCAGAGGAACTAATCAGGTGAAATAAAATCTGAAGTAAAAAGTATAAAATAAAATAGCCTAAACAGGAGTACAGGGTCATGCCTGCCAGGCAGCTCCTATAACCCCAGCAACTCAGAAGGGCGAAGCAGGATGGTTGTAATTTTGAAACCAGCGTGGACAACACAGCAAGACCCTGTCTAAAAACAAAAATTTAAGAAGAGCTCAGGACATTGCCTTCTCTGGGTTCCATCCTCAGTATGACAACATGAAAACAAAAACGAAAGAGAATCAATGTAAATCTTAAATACCAAGCTGTTTTAAAACCAGTAACCAAAATAGTCATTTATTTTCAAAACCTGACCATGAAAAAGTCCAGACAGTTGAAAGAAATGTGAGCTACTTCCACGTATTTATTCAACACATCTTTGGGGGCTTTATACGCAGCCCTGTTTATAATTGCAACATTACAAGGGAGCAGAGGGAGGACCATGGTCGGGGAGATAGCTCGGGGCATCACCCTGTCTGGGAGAGCCCCTTCCCCCTTGAGGCACATTCTGGACAGAGCCCTCAGCCATTGCCGGTCAGTACAGATGGT